TATCTGCAGAGCCTCCTAAATCCAACAGAAGCAGAGATTTATTTTCTGCAATAGAAACCTCTTTGTTTCTACATATAATGATATGTTCTTTTTTTTCCCTCCTGTGTGTGGGTGGCCAAGTGTGCACCACATGGTTTCCCGCCCCCCTCTCAGCACCACACCTAGAAGGGCCTGTGTTTAGACAATCCCTGAGAGCTCTTGGGCTTACCTGATTGAGAAGCAAGCTGCATGCATGTCATTCTGGGTCTCCTCAGGCCCCAAATGTCGAGACTGTTGAGACTCAGCTCTGTGTTCTCCTGCCCTCCCACCTGGGCTAGGGAAGGCTCTTGCCCAAGTACCTCCTCTGGGCCTGATGACCCCACTTCCCCAGAGAAGAACTTTGCCTCAGAGAAATAAATGCTTGCTTCTCGCTGTCCCTCTTTCCCTTTAAAAGTAAATATTGATAAACATCTTGGACACTGAGGTCTCCCACAAGGCACCCTGTCCTGGTTTCTTGAGGGAAAACACCTGGGCAACACTGGCCCAGCTGGGCTGTGTCTCTCAAGGAATGCCCCCCCCCTCCACTTCATTAATTCAATTATAACCAGTAACAGTTGTCAGCTATAGCTCTCTGGAGAAAGAGAGGTCCATCACGGCCATCTTCTTGCACTCAGGATCTATTCCCCTCTCCTGGTCACTGCAGGATGAAGTAGTCCCCTTGTTTTTACTTGGGTTTCTCAAACTATCATGGAAAGACAGGGAGACAGCTGCCTTCCCTACCACATTTCTGTTCACTAAATGAACCAAAAAATAACATGCAGATACCTATTAGGCAGGGTTTTATAGGTAAGGAGGCAAGGTCATGAAGGCTCATCAGAAAAGCTCAAAATCAGGGTGCCTGGGTGGCACAGTTAGTTAAGTATTTGACTCTTGGGTTCGGCTCAGGTCATGATCTTGGGATGGCAAGATCGAGCCCTGTGTCAGGCTCTGCACTTAGTGAGGAGTCTGTTTAAGATTTTCTCTCCCTTGGGATCCCTGGGTGGCTCAGCAGTTTAGCGCCTGCCTTCGGCCCAGGGCATGATCCTGGAGTTCCAGGATCGAGTCCCACATCAGGCTCCCTGCATGGAGCCTGCTTCTCCCTCTGCCTATGTCTGCCCCCACCCCCCGTCTCTCATGCCTAAATAAATAAAATCTTAAAAAAAAAAAAAAGATTTTTCTCTCCCTCTCCTTCCCCTCAAATAAACAAATCTTTTTAAAAAAGAAAAACCTCAAAGTCACTATCATCATGGCTTCTGCATGGAGCCAACTCATCCTCATGGCAGAAACACAGAACAATTCCTCCCAGGTCCTCCACCTTGACCACAACGAGGAACTGCAAATCTTTCAGACCCACCCAAAGCCATGGCTGCAGTCTTTTCCACCCTACTTTTTTTTTTTTCACCCTACTTCTTTATCAAGTAATCATCAGAAAGCTGTTAATCACAGCTAAGGTACTTGAGTTTCCTAGGTAAGACCCTCTTGCTGACTCATTGACTTTCTTCTGCAACTAGCATGATGTTGATGGTCCTGTCTTTCTTGGTTGGCAGCTATCTGAACGTACCTTGTTTTTTTTTTTTTTTTTTGTTTTTTGTTTTTTATATATAACAAGTTTTCTTCTTATTACCCCTCTCTTGGAATGAGGATCCTTACTTTAATACTCCTGATGTATGAGTATATTATCATAGAAGTGATCCCAAATCATTTAAAGTAGAGGCTGGAAATTTTAAAAAAGTAATACTAGTTTCCTAACCTATAAAATAAAACGGAAATACTACCCATCCCATAGAATTGGTTAACAGCATAATGACTGCACAGCATCTAATACAGTAGGTGTTCAATAAATGAGATCTGATCTCATTAATTCCTGTCTTAAGCAGAATTATTGATATTACCATGGCAAGAATTTTTCATGTAATTCATAATTCAGAACCCATTTGATTGCAGATTGGATTGGAGCCAGTTTATAGTACCAAATAAATTACTTTTGAACTACAATATGTAAAATATGGTGAGACAAAGACAAAGAGACACAGAAAGAGAGAGAAAAACACAAGTCCAGGACAGGGTGAGTTAGTTGCTAAAAATGAGCCTGACATTTGCTTTGTATTTTCTGACAGCCACAGCAGGAACAAAATCAGGTTAACGTATAATGACTCTCATTGTCTGATAAATGCAATGTGTAGCTCACATGGATAGTGAATTTTTCTCCTAACATTCAGAGCTGGAGTAACTGCTTGCACTGATCCTTATATGACATATACCGGGTAAGCTACAGAGCAGCCATACTTATGTGTGTCCATGTACAAAAGCACATACAGATCCTTCAGAAGACAGGTTTCTCTTTATCAGTACTAAATGGTTAGAGACCACTGGGTGAGTCCCCTGGGGACCTTCTAAGGGTAGTCTTTTTCATTCTCTAAAGTTTTCACTGAGAAATTTTCTTGAAGAGCGTAGACCAGTGGCTCAGGTCCACTGAGAACATCATCCCATCCTCTCTTAGTGCACATGTACTTAGGGAATAAGGAATTAAATGATTCCATTCTGTCCCCATATATGCAACAGCTTTCAGGCTTTGTATCTGTAAGCAGCCTGGCCAGTGCCTTCATCAAGAGGCTCTTGCTAAGCCTCCACACAGCCTTGTCTGTGGCTTGAGCCTGGCTGACCAGAGGGTTGCAGATGGAGAGAATGTGGCTTCATCCCTGGGGGACCTGCTTCCCACTGCTCGCACATAATCAGAGACAACAGACTTCCCTGGGAAAACCATAATCGCCCAACTAGGGGCAGGGCCAAATGGTCACAGAATTTATTGGCTTTGATTAACAATTAGGTGTTTGTTTTTGTAGGTAATTAGAGTGCAAGAGCAAGCTATAAAGAGCCCTTCAAGAAACTGAAGCAGACTATAGCTAAAGGCTACTGGCATTGGACTGAATCTCACCATTCATCTCTGCAGACCCCCTGCGCTCAGACGCCAGTGGCTCTGCACAATTGCCTAGGTCATCAGGGAGAAAATGGCCCTCTGTGTTCTTCACATCCAAGGAGAAAAGCTTCTACATAGCACGTGTGTGCTCACATGCGGGTGCAAAAAGCAGTCCAGCGTGGGTGCTGGCACTGGACGCTGCATGGAATCTTGCAGTTCATATAAATAGATGTATTCAAAAGTCCACGACAACCCACATGTTGGAAAATGTTTTGACAACTGCATTCTCAAACCCATTAGGTGGTTAATTCTGAGGAACTAAGACAGACCGGCTGGGTCATTTTGCCAAAAGGCGAGAAGAGAGGATGTTTGCCAAAGTCATACTGATTTATGCTTTTCTCTCAGCAACCATCCTTGGCTACAGGTTTGTACATGCTTTTTTTTTCTTTAACAAATCAGAAATATGAATACATATTTGATTACAGTTTATCTTTAAAAATTATTTCCTAGTAGTATAGGCAAAAAAGTGTGGGCAAAGAGTTGTCACGAATATTTAAAAATACTGTCGAGATAAAAGAACTGTGTACTTAGTGATAAGTGCTCATTTTGCCTCTTTTAGCTGATGGCATGTTATTTCTGCCTTAATCCCAGGAAATATACATAGGATTATTCTCACTCACTGTACTCACATCATGATACTCAGTAGGCACAGAAAAGCTAACTACCAAGTCCATCTATAGGACTGAAAAAAATGAGAATGGGACCAGGTAAAACAAGGCAAAAGCATATATATATATATATATATATATATATATACACACACACACACACACACACACACAACACACACACATATATACACATACACACACATATATAGAGCCACAGATATAGCTAATCCTAGAGGAAATTGCTTTTGTATTTCTCCTTACAGACTGACTTTACAGAAATCAGAAGTTTGAGTTTACATTTAGGATCCCAGGCATCTTACTACATAGGTCATTAGGAAACCTTTATATTTTTTCACCAAAAACTAGGTTTCCATTTAACTTTGTTCCATCCAACACAATACAAATTTTCCTATTGTTCTTCATGCTCTGACCTCCTTGATTTACGTACTTATTTTTTAAGTTCTCATGCAGTTGTACCACAATTTTTCCTTCAGAGAAATACAAAACAGACCCCTACTGCAGGAGAAATAGTAAGCCCTCAGGCCATAGTTTTAGAGTCGGCTGGCTCTCTGATGCCTAAGACTTCCTGCAGGTGATCTCAATTTTGGTCCAGCCACCCAACCCCTCTGACCTGCTGCTTCCTTCCCCTGTAAAACCAGGATGCTGCCTCAGATCCTTTCCACAATGTCTTTGGGCTCTGAGGGTCTATGGCTGTCCCCTCCTCAAGGGAAGAATTTCCATGTACAAAGGCAGTAACTGATAATTCTTTAAAACTAAGACATTGAAGGGCATCTGCCTTTGGCTCAGGTCATGATCCAGGGGTCCTGGGATCAAGTCCCGCATCGGGCTCCCCATAGGGAGCCCACTTCTCCCTCTGCCTATGTCTCTGCGTCTCTCCTGAAGAAATAAAATCTTTAAAAAAAAACAAACAAACAACCCAAAACCCCAAAAAACTGAGACACTGACATTCTGCCTTTGGACAGTTGGACTTTGAAACCAGCTTTCAAGGAAATAGAAAGTCAACAGTCTGAAGATAAATCCCATTATTTGACTGATAGAGTGAATCACAGATCATGCTGGTCCAGGAAAGAAATGCAACCAAAGACGACACTCCGAGAAAAACCCCTTCCCTCTGGAGTGTGTGCACTAAGAGTAGTGTGCTCTTAGTGCACACATGAACATGAAATTAACATTTGACTCACAGAGACCATCTGTTCAGTAATCTCTCCAGTTCCCTGAAGGGCTGGGACCCAGGCGTGCTGGCCTAGGTCTGTGTTACAGAAGAAGCAAAAGTATGTGGCAGCACTGTTTCAAAACTTATGGAATTCAAGCAGAAAAAAAAATATATTCAGCAAGGAACTGGAAGAGGCAGAACAACAGAGTCTGATACTTACTTGTGGCCCAGCTCGTGAGCGATGGTAAAGGCCAAATTGAGACCATTGTCTTCGGCAAGCACACATTTCCTCTTAGCACTGCACACACCTCCTAAGTAAGCAATCCCTGTAGCAGAGACACAAAACACATCCTCTTCAGAACGTGGGAGGCCCTGACCTCGCTGGGCAAGTCCATATGGTCAACAGCACGCATGATGGGAGAGAGGAGGGGCAGATGGGGACGAGGATGTGGCCACGGGGTTGGGACCATGGTTCCAGAGCTCTTGTGTGGGACGGGCTGGCGTGTAACGCTTTGGGATTCACCGAAAAATAATTAATGGTAACAATCACCACACCATGGAGATCTCCCAAGCATTTAATGTCGGGCAATGTGTTGTGTTTACAGACACTATCTAATTTAATCCTAATGACTCAGAAGGTTGGTAACAGGGAGAGACCAAGGCTCAGAGGGGAAAGGTAAGGTGGATTGGCACGCGGTGCTGGGATGCTGTCCAACTTCACCATCTAGGGCTGGGGTGAGGCGAGGCTGGCAAGGCAAGGTGCCCAGTGTGAAAAGCTGAAGGAGGGTCCCCCACACATGCATGCCCAGAAAGGGAGGGGCCACCTTCCTTCCCTCACCCCACTCCAGCTCTGCCAGGGCCAATGCTCTCAGGGTGTGAGCAGGGAGTAGAGAGAAGCAGCGAGGCTCACAGAGAGCAAGCCCAGGAAGGCTGTGCAGGATATGCAGAAAAATGTTTCAGGAACCCTTGGGAGAGAATTCCTGAACCAGGACCTGGAGGGAGGGAGAGAACCCTGAAGAGTGAGGGCCTGGCAGGAGTCAAGAAGGATGAGCCTCATGGAGCGACTCACTCATCTCCACACATACCTGTCTGGGGTCCTCTTGCCTCTGAGATGGGAACTGAACCCAGGCACATAAGAGGAAGGCAGACGAAGGGGAATGGTGTGAGCAGGGGACAGGAGGCTGTCCCGGGAAGGCTGGAGGACAGATGGGTGTTTTCTAGGAGAGGAAGGTTATCCTGGCAGAAAGGTGTGTGAATGACAAGAGGGCCTTGGCCAGGCACATCTGAGGGATGCACAGGCCACCTGTCTGCAGGCTGCCACTCTCCACAGCAGCTCTCCACATGTCCTGTCAGTTCTTGCTATCTCTGCACCCTGGACAGGCATCCCTCGCAACTCAAGTGTCCCCAGAGCTTATCTGAATGAAAGGGGAGTCCATGGACCCTCTCCCATCTCACCCCTCCCCCGGGCTTGGGACAGAATCTGAGAGAGGACTAGAATCATCTGCACTCCCTCTGCCTGGAGCATCTAACTCCTTAATACACCAAGAGATGGATGAATGGGTGGTGGCACAGGGTGGCTGGCGGCTTATACAACTGAGGTGACTCGGGGTTCCTCTTGCTGTGAGTTCACAAGGGATGTAGGGTGGGCAGGGGCTCCACTGGCCCCATGACCAGGCATGTGCTGTCCAGTGACCAGATGGACGGAGGCTCTGCAGCCAGACTCCACCCACCAGCCCTGTGCCTTGGGACCGACTGTGGCCACGGCCGCAAGAGGTGTCTCTTTTCTACCCACGACAGAACCAACTGCTGCTGAGTTGCACACCGCTCCATTCAGAGGGCCCCTTTCACTAATGTGCAGTAGGTGCTTTGGAAGTGGACACTGGCCTTACAGGCACAAGACTTGGGGAGGTAAGGAGTTGGCAAAAGCGGAGGGGAAATGCACGGGGGAGTTAATTAAAAATAAATCTCTTTCCCTGCTACCCCAAAGGGACACCTATTTGGTGACTTCAAAATCAAATGGAGGTGGACCTTGGCCTCCTGGAGTGCTCTCCATCCTTCCTCTTGATGCCCCCTATGAGCCTCTAGACACACAGCTACCTCGCCCCTGGCTCTGCTCTGCACGGAGATGCTGCTGCGGGTTCAGCTCACATTTAGCACCCCAAGCTGCCACCATAGCACGTCTATTTTTATTTTAAAACATGCAACATGCTTGGGCAAGATTGAAGAATAAAAAAAGGAAGGAAGGAAAGAAGGAAGGAAGGAAGGAAGGAAGGAAGGAAGGAAGGAAGGAAGGAAGGAAGGAGGGGAAAAGAAATGTTTTTTTGTTTTTGTTTTTTTTGTATGTTTTTTTGCACGTGGACATCATAATCCAGCAATGCAGACTACTGGAAGGAGAAAGATGACAACCAGAAAGGACATGATCTGGCTTCTCGGTGCCTTCAAGGTCATTATTCTGGTTTTGTTTAAAAATGTTTTGTGGGTTGCTGCACCAAGTCCAGCAGTGAGTAGCTGGAATGCTTCTACATAGCTCCGATGGTATGTGCGTGTAACAACACACGCACACACTCGGATGCACACCCAGTAGTGCTCTCCCAGCCCAGGCTGCAGCCTCCTGGGTCAATGAATCAACTGGAACAATCAGATGTGCACGCCCCCGGGAGAAGTCATCTGGTGAGTGGGGAGAGGAGGCATCTAAAGACAGCTGTACTGAGCCTGCTGTCCCCAGAGCGGCTGCTGAACCAGCAGACGTTGATGCCACACAAAAACATCCCCTGGCCTCTGCTGCACTCAGCTCCCCGAGCAGGCAGTCCTGAGTTTCCACTCTAATTAGGTAACACGCAACGTTAGGAAAACAGCTAAGCAACGAGCCTTCCAATAATTGCATTTTAATTTTTCCAAGGCACAGATGATCTTTTTTTTTTTTTTAACGAGAAAACAAAGGATCAGTTTATTTATGAGAAATGTTCTCGCACGAAGGTGGATTATGGTCTAGTGCTTTTAATGACGCATTCTGATCACGAACAGCCTGGTCAGGAAAGTGAGCAAGGCAAAACGTGTAAAAGCAGATGGCCTCTGATACAGAGTGAAGGAACCTTGTGCATTCATGACCCAAGGTGTGGAAATGCTTAGAGCTCATGAAACAAAGTCTGGAGAAAATCCCAGGTTGTTGTAAAAGAGCTGCAAGGAATACATGGCAGTTAAGCCATGAGCTTCCATGAGAATCAAAGCCCATCACTATTCCTTGTTCCCTGGAAAGAATGGAGGAGCAGGGAGCAGTGGAGGGTATGCTGAAGCTATGGCACCACTGGGACCTTCCTATGTCACTGGAATTCCCTACACAGACAGCAAGACTCCAGAGGGGTGTTTTCCATGTATTTAGCATTCTATGAATTAAAATTCTCCATCAAAAAAAATCCTAGAACTTATTTTTGAAATTTTAAAAACATCAATTCCACATGTTTGCAGAGCTCCCTGGAATAGAAAAGGGAAGCAGAAAGGCAACTGAAATTTATTAGGGTCCTCTCTAGGGGCAAGCACTGCTCAGAATGGGTGACCATACCTTATTCCATGGGTATGGTTACTGGCCCCATCTTATAGGGAAATGGAGGCCCAGTAACCAGTTATATGCCTGACAGAGCCGAGACTCAGATACTATGCAGGACTTTTTTTTTTTTTTTTTTCAACACCAGTGCTCTTCCAGGCAAACCCAGGGCCTCTTTCATCAAAGCTTTGGTGACCAACAACAATGAATCATCTTTGGGGGTTTCAAGGATTTTCATAAATCTTAATGTGTTTATGCAGAGATGTGGGTGGGATAAAATAAAGGTTTCAGGTGTTTGAGTCCAAATGTTTTTTAAACTAAAGATAAAAAAGATTCAAGGGATATATGCAACAATATTAATGGTTACCTCCAGGGCGTGGTGAAGTCATTATAAATCTTTTCAATTTTCTTCCATTTGGCTTAAACCTAATACAATGAATATGCACTTGCCATGAAAATTAAAGTTACTGGTTATATTCCATTCACCCAAGGTGACTTATAGCAGAGGCAGAACTGAGAAAAGACCTCTACCACCTGCCCGCCCCCGCCCCCCCCCAAAAAAAAACCTCCAAATTTTGATTCTGAATATATAGACTTTCAGGCAGCAGAGATGGAGTTCACAGTCAAGGCATCACTGAGTATGTGCTTATATCCTAAGGGCAGTTTGCTCCATCTCTACTATACACCTCTGGCACAGATTAGAGAAGCAAAACATGCTTTTAAAAATCTGAAATGCTGGGGTACCTGGATGGTGCAGTTAGCTGAGCAACTGACTCTTGGTTTTGGCTCAGGTTGTGATCTTGGGGTTGTGAGATGAAGCCCCACGTTGGACTCCATGCTCACCACAGAGTCCACGTGAGATTCTCTATCCTTCTCCCTCTGCCCCGCCCACTCATGTGCTCTCTCTCAAATAAATAAATCTTAAAAAAAAAAATCTGAAATGCTGATGGTAGAAATGAAGAAGGGCTATGAAGTTTTTTTCTGATGCCTGGAGAAGTCTATAGGATCCATTCAGAAAAGCCAAAGTCTCTTAACCTAGCTTCCCAGCCATGTCAACTCAGTGTAGACATTCTCCCTTTTCTTTTCCTTGGTAGGATTGTGATTTTGGAGAGGAAACTAGGTGAGGAGGTTTAATTATTTTCTTTTTCAGTAGAAAACTGCATGGTATAAGCACATAATACTTAAACTCAGAGTTGACCATATCCTTTCTAGATTAAGGAGTAAACAACATACAACTGTATAAACTCTGATTTATCCAGCAAATTGTCACGTGTAAACAGTTTGCAGCTGTTGGCCTTGTTGGCCATTACTCATACCTTCTTGGACTCTGCCCCTGAGAGAAAAAGGCTGAGTTTCTTCTACCAACTGCTCGAAGTACTAACATCATCATGGTTATCACTGGGATGCCACGCTGCCAGTTATAAGAAAGCAATTTACATCTCTTCACTTGGCAATCACAGTGGTTGAGACAGAGTTGCTCACTCAGCCTCGGGGGCATGGCCTTGTGCTCTTGTAAACTTCACTACATGGTTGGAAGTATGATCTGAATTTCTGAACAGCATTTAAGAGCCCATGTCTTAGTGTCTAGGATGTGACAAATTATAAAGACCTACAGTTGATTCTCATTATCTGTGGGAGTTGGATTCTAAAAAGTCACTGGGAATGTGAAATTCTCAAATATAGAACCGTTGCTCCTAGCAGACATACAGAGGTAGGTTCCTGTGAGCCTCTGGTCACAACATCCTTGTCAAATGACCAATACATAACCTTGTTTTATGTGTGTTC